TTGAGTTGAATGAAACTTACATTAGTGGTGACTCACATAAGGGCAAGCATATGGTACTTAGAGCCGGACTTGTGACTTTTCCTTGAGAGAGATGAGTGTAATTCCATTAACCTCGTTCTGAGTGCCACTATCCTAAAGGTGAGGTTTGATTAGGGAGAGTTGAGGATGTGTGAGTTTGGGTTCCACAACGACCAAAGTAATAGAAAGAGTTTCTTTGATGTGTTGAGTCAACTCTTGATGCTCTTGTGTCGCACTAAATCCATGGTGTTTAAAAGAGTGAATGATGTTAATGACTCATTTGAATTGAGGGCAATTGTTAGTCCCAATTGATGCTAGATAAGGTCACTTTAGGTTGGCTGAATTTTCTTGGATTGACTCTCAAAGGGTGGGTTTTATCATGTTTGCTTGAGGACAAGCAAAAGCTTAAGTTTGGGAGAGTTGATAACTAGGAATTATGAGGCATTTTACACTTCTTCTTGCTTAAGTTTTTATTAGAAATGTGTACAAAATAGTCCCAAAGGCTCATATGTTGTACTTGATTGTAGGGTTTGATCAACAAAGTGACAATTTGTCAAAAAACCAGCTCAAAAAGGAGTGAAACATGCACAAGTGCCAAGACCAATACCAAGCTCAGTCAAACAGGGCCAGTGCGTCCGCACACCATTTTGTGCGGTCTGCAAAGATCAAGTTCAGAGTGTATGCTTTTCAGGCAACCAGGAAATGCTCCCCAAATGATTTTGTGTGGTCCGTATTGATTTTATTGCGGCCACACTCGACTTTGTGCGGTCCGCATTGCCCAAGGTCAGAGAGTTGCTAAGTTGAAGGATGATGTCCAGTGCGGTCCGCGATCTATTTTGTGCAGACCGCAATAAAGCCACCGCGGCCGCGGTGCATTTTGTGCGGTCCGCGGTGGCCAACGTCAGAGAGCAGATTAGTCAAGCCAAGAGTCTTAGTGCGGCCGCACTCAATTTTGTGCGGTCCGTACTAGCCCTGCTGGGGTATTTTTGTCCAAAATTTTTAGCCTAGTATAAATAGTTTCTTTTCCCATTTTTAGGTCATTAAATAGATTTTGGGACAGGGCTGCGCTCGTGAACACTTCTCTTTTACCATTTTGAGTAATTTTAGCTTAGTTTCATCATTGAATCTTCAAGTTTTATCTAGTAATTAATTATTATGGACTCTTCTTCATCTATTTCTTTGTTTTCTTCTATAATCATGAGTAGCTAGACCCATTAGCTAGGGTTGTGGCTCAACCTTAGTGTGGGTAATTGATGGATTTTGTGTTTTGATGCTTGATTGTCTATGGGTGTTTGATATTTGGACTAATTTAGGGTTTTAATGTTGAACTAGTGGTTGCAAACACTAGTTTATGCCTAGTAGACTTTGGCTCTTCTTGAGAAAGAGAGCCTAAGTCCATACAATTGGTCAAACAAGGAATTGGGGCGTACTCAAGAGATTGATAGCCCCAATTAAAGGTTATATCTAGAGATAGTAATACCCGACTTGAACCTCAATTGCTTGCACAAATTATCATACCCAATTGGTCTTGAGAAAGTCAATTCGGGCAAAATCACTCGAACTACCGAGAGGTATAGAGTGAGTAGAATCGTGCAATGGTTATATCATACTCCCCAAATGTGACAATCTAGCTTTAGACTCAAGAATACGTCAATTAGCCACCTAGGAGAAAGTCACTACCCTAGTGCCTTTTATCTATTTGAAAAACTTGCAATAGTTTAATCTTAGCTTTACTTAGTCTAATTTAGCATCCTAGTAGTATAAAATTAGAAGTAAAAATCAAAACCAACAATGTTTAGAAGTGCAATTAGGAACAATTACACAACTCCCATTTAGATAGAAACTCAACTCCAATATTTAGCTCCCTGTGAAAATCGATCTCGACCTTCTCGGGTAAAAGCTGCTTCGACCTCTCTTGCTACTTCATAGCAGTACAGGGTTGGCCTCGATCAATAGTTGCTCTAATTGAAGAGATTCTTAGGGGAACATGACCTTGCTCAATAGAGGTATGTGCTTTATTGCGACAGTCAAAGTGCTATTCATCTTGACAAGAACTCTACATTTCACGGTAGGTTGAAAACATATTGATGTGAGATATCATTAGATTAGAGATGTGTTAGAAAGTCTCTTGAACTTGGGAAGATTCACCCTGATGATAATGGTTCAGATATGTTGACTAGAGCTCTGCCAAGAGGGAAGTTTGAAGAGTGTTGTATGATCGTCGGGATGGTGGTCTCCTCCGCATAGTCATGAGGGGGAGAATTATTGGATTTTTGGGCTTTTTTCCTTCCTATGTGGATAAATAAAATACCTTTTGGACCTAGCCCACTATGCCCTAAAACCCACTATATATATATATATNAGAGAGAAAAAGTGAGAGAGAAGTGGTGATTTCCCACCAGTAAAAATTAGCTACAACAGTCCTCTCCAGACAGTGTTCCCCGGTTCATTAACCGTTAATCATGCTCAAATTTGAAATGGAAGTTCTCAACATCTGGTTCTTGGATTTCAATGATGCAGATTGCGTTTTGCTGTTTATAGCTCCAGTGCTTGAGCATGAACAGTAGCTTTTTTGGGATGATCTCTCCTTTCTCAATATCTTTGGTGCTATCTTTTATATATTGTTACTCCGTATTTGGCATTGATGTTACAGCCATTGGGAGAAATTTTTCGTAACTCTTATTAATTATAGTGGATCCTTTATAGGTCGGAGGTCTCATGGTTGTTTCCTCATCACCTTGAAGAGATTTTTCTACGTAAATTTGGTGTCTCTTGCATATGATTTATTTTGCTTGCTTTAATATTTTGTTGTTGGTGTAGTTGCTGCCCAAATTTCCATTTGTCCTGGTGTTTATTGTCTTCTCTTGGTTCAAATAGTGTGGAAAATTTTGGCTTGGATATTTCTTCTGCTATTACCTTATTGAGCAATTTAGTTACTGCTTGTTTCTTCCCGATAACCGCCATATCTCTTCCTCGTTTTGTGTGATACGTTGGGATTTGGGTTCTATTCAATTAAGTCAATGGTGTTTGCGGATAGAAGATGGGCCTAAGAAAGGATAATCCTTGGATTATAAGAGTAAAAAGGACTACACAGTTGTACGCTTGCTTCAGGCGAACTTTAGACATGATTGTTTGAAGTTTTCACAGTCAGGGAGAACTTTACGTGAACATTACCCGAAACTTCAGGCAAACTTCAGACGCAATTGTCTGAAGTTTATATTTTCAGTGTGAGAATTTAGATGCGAACATTACACGAAATTTATAACTTAGCATTTGAATTTTGCACTTTCACAAGGAGAACTTCAAACACGAACACTACCCGAAATTTATAGATTCAAATATGAATTTTTAAAACTTTAGTCGCGACGTCTGAAAATTGTTCTAAAGTCGATAAATTTATAAATTTTTGTGCAATGCGGGTGTCACTTTAACGGTGCCCCAAAACTGGGTATATCTGCAATTCTCCTACACAAAGGGCCATTTCCATGGCACTGTTTAAGTTTTGATGCCGTTTAAATAAGTTGTGCAAAAATAGCTTTCGAACAATAGTTTGGCCGCAAAATGCTGGCGGATCACTAGAAGTTTCTGATAGATGCGCATCCCACAAGTTATAGCGATCACCAAGAGTTTAGTACAAATTTCCCTAGTGGATCACCATGAGTTTCTAATGGATGAGCTTGGGCTTACCACAAGTTATGGCAATCATCAGAAATTTAGTACAAGTTGTCCTAGCGGATCATTATGTGTTTCTGATGAATGGGCTTATCACAATTCACAAGTTATGGCGATCATCAAGAGTCTAGTATAAAATTATTTTGGCGGATAATCAGAGAGTTTCTGATTGATAGCATTTCCACGAGTCCTAGTGGATCGTCAAAAATTTAGTACAAGATATGTCGTAACTTTGAAAAAAATTGTTCACAATTCCTTGCGAACCACCATAAGTATGTGAGAAATTTCACCAACCTATTTTTGCTTCAAAATTAATTCAAATTTGTCCAAATCAACTCCAAGTGACTCCAAATTTGATATTTGACATTCTAATACCAATTCCAATAATTTCCGATGGTTATTCCACCCAATCCTTCTTTAACAAACAAGCTCAACAAAACTCAATAATAGTTGTTCTTCAAGTTTTCCAATCAAACCATCCACAAATAAATGGATCTTTGGTTATCTATTGCACATATAAAGAAGATGAAAAAGAATGAGAAAGGAGGAGGAGGAGATGCACAATTTCTGGTAAAGGATTATAGTCGCACTACTTTTCTTAGCGAGATTAAATTTAAACACTGGTCCTTAATGGGGACACATAGTTAAATTTTTTGCAGCTTCATAGCCTTGCAATAAATAATAAGGGGGAAAAAGACGATGTCCTTTCGCAATCAAAAGTTGGAATTAAGATTTCCTTCTTTGTTTCTTCTTTTTTTTTTTTTCTTTCAACCTTTGGAATGTCTCTATTTCAACCTTTTTAGCTTCAAAAAACATTGCCGTTTTCTAGTATCATTCAAACTTCTTTTAGCTTCAAAAAGCATTTATGCCTCTAGCATAATTCATACTTTTTGTTTTCTCCACCTCAGAAAATGTTGTTTAGAAATGTGTTCTCTTCCCCGCAGGAGAAAAATCAATAGAACCAAATAAGCAACCTCTTTCCTTCTTGCTCGTGGCTTCTTTCCAACATAGGTCAATAGGTTGTTCATTAGCTCCAGCTCGACTAATCATACAAATCAAAAACAGTTCTGAACTTCGACCAACTAAGCAATATATTTTTATTTTTCTCAAGTTCTAAAATTTTATTGACTTTTGTCGTTTAATGTTCCTACACTTTAGGTTAACGTAATCCAATCTTTTTAACGGATATCCTTCTCAACGTAGAAACATAAGACTATAAAGAAGATAATTTATATTCACATTAAAACAAACTCCTTAAACACAATAAAATCTCTGGCACTTAACCGTTGAATTGAAATAATGAAACTTCAAGGAAACCAAGGGAATGTAGACTTGAGAAGTTGACTAGAAGAACCATGCTGATGGCATTATATTGCTGTATTGATAGTTACTAAGCTTGTGAAGAATTTGTACCATTGATAGTTACAATATATTCAGAATAGCAGAATTTTCATTGACATTGTTTTCAATCTATCAAAAATAATTTGAAGTGTCTTCATCCATTGAACTAGATCATGAGTTCACTGACCCACCGAATAAGAAAAAATCTAGAGTTTGGCAAGAGCTCGGATCAAACACAGATGAGAATGGTGTTTCTGTTACTGTGTAAATGAAATTAAAATATTAGAAACAATACTTCTTTTGACATGTTTAGTAACTGGTTGCTATGTTGCATGGACTCTTCATTTTAACTGCTAAACCCGTGTCGGCACGACACTAGTACTGGTAAGAATGTGGTATTCGTACCGGGTGTGATCAATCGAGATCGGGTACTTTGACCACAATCCATGGCTGCTTGCTAGTGCCTAGTGGCAACAACTTGAGAAATTACCAAAATGAAAGATTGAACTATCAACTGCACTCCATAACCTATAGTATTTCACAGAATATTTCTCATAATTTAGGATATTTATATAGTATCTTTAGAATTTTGAATTACTTTCAGCCAAGACCCTGCATCCGTATACGTACCTTGATTACCCCAGAATCATAAAAATTTGATTATGAAGGATCCAACTTCTAGATCCGCTCTCTGATTGGATACCTGCACCCGAGTCCGAGCAACATAGACTGTTTCTCTATGATAACTGGCAGCAGGAAAAAAAGCTATATGGGAAGTTAAAAGCTTTGAGAAAAAATGAGTTGAAGTAAAAGATTTGCTTCTTATCTGCTCAAAGAGGAACAAGCTGCAGACATACTGGAAGAAGCAATATAGTTAAGTATAGTTGAACTCGAAACGCAGACCTTACTGTCTCACTTGAACCAAAAAACATTTCACCCCTTTAATTAAAACCTTAGCTATTCAACAAATGCCTTATTGATAAAAGATTTTATTTCTAAAGTATAAATTTTGGTATTAAAATCTGAAACATAGAAAGAAATGTAAGCCAAACCAAAAGGCAATAAACATGTCAACTTGGAAACTGGAAAGAAATAGCTCTAAAATATTTCATTCTGGCTTCGCCATATATAAGATAAAAGTTGTGGTTCTCTCGGTTGTTGTCTTAGCAAAGATAATCAGAACTTCCTATCTCAAATAACAATAGATTGAATTAATCAATCATAAGGGGAGCTAAAAACTCCACTTTTCCTCTTCTGTACTAAAATATAAACGAAAAGGAAATATGATATTCCCATTGAAATAAATATGTTATTTTGATTCCAACTATACCAAATGGTGACCTAACATTGCAGAGAGAGATATACCAAAATCGCATGAAAGAGGCAACAGCACGTGACTGGGAAAAACATAGACTAAAAATTGTAATAATGCAAACCAAATTTCAACAGTTTAAGTCTGATATTGTCGTCTCTTCTCAGATCTGCATTAAAGGAGTAATCATACTACAATTAAGGGTTATTAACATCTTTTCTCCTCTCATTACCACCGCCAAACCCACGAGCAGAGCCAAATAGCACATCCTATTCATGCCTAGAACATTCCACTCTTTCAAAACACATGTCTTCAGCCGCATTGATTATCAGCTTCATTTATTGGAACTAGAATAACTTAATCTCATAGTAAGGATCTGTCCTAAAGAAACAGAGCGAAAAGAGGCAATTGCAGGTTGTTTTTTCTAAGAACTTCCCAATTTAAGAGAAATTAAAAGTAAGAAACAATAATTTACTTCACTAATAGTACAAAATCTCAAGAACCAACTTTTCAACTCGGGGAATCATGGCAGCCTGGTTGGTTGGCTATCTGAACCTCCACTTCGTTGTTTGGGATTCCATTCCCCACCTTGTAATCTCCTCACTATATCCCCTTCCCCTTCCCACTTATGTATAATTAAAAAAATAATTAGAAAATTTTAAAATCAGTGATGTTAAATCACTATGTTCATGTCTAAGGTACAGGAAGTTCTCAGTGCAACAAACTTGGATGTACATTCATTTGACTTCTCCCAGGTGCCCTGCCGATATCAAAATTTAGTAAATTTTATATCAAACTCAGAAACTAAGTCTTCTTTTAATATATACAGATGCATCAAGTCTTGGTGGAACTTTTAACAAAAGTTAAAAAGTATACATCCATGATTTATTGTGGAAGTAAAAGATAAACCGTAACGATGACAATGTTGGCTCAATCTTGGACAACACCTAAAGATTTTGCTGGTTAGGTCCATCCTAAGACGCGATATCTCAGCTTCTCAAGCTACTTCTGTCTCTTTAGCTTTCTATTTGTATTTTTTTTCTTCTCTTTTCCTTCTTCTTTGGAATGACGACTGTTTGCCTTTATTCTAAGCTTCATAAGTTACCAACCATTTTCCAATTGGATTCTAGAGAAGTTAAAGAGGAAGAAAGCTCACTGCTGGAAATTGCAGTGTTGCTGGAGGCGGAAGCTTAACGGTGATTAGCCTTGTGTTGGGTGCTATGCTACCATATAAAGATATATTTATTGAATTTTTGTTCTTTAAGGTTCCTCCTGGCAGTTTTAGGTATACTTCTGAAGGAACTAATAATAAAATAGTTCATTTGCTGTGTTTAATTATGCTCAATCTTTTTTAGAAAATAATTCAGTAGAGTTTTTTTTTTAATGGATTTGGTAATGCAAGAGTTAGCATTCTGATAGTAATTTTTCTGCTAAATTTACTGTTTTGTTTAGCTGTATGTGCCATTTACACTATCCCTACAAGGAAAGAAACCAAGCAAGTTGCCTCTTATCCTATCTTCCATAGGAAAAGGACTCAATTCTGCTGGTGCTCTCCTGAAATGCTGGACCATGTTGTTTCTTGAATCTCGCCTCAGACTTTAGATCTTTTCGCTTAACTATAAGCACTCGTCATCAATAAATTCTGATTTCTGCCAAAGATCTCAGATGCATTTCATTCTCCTCTTCGAGTTTTACATTCTTTATTATGCATTTACATACATTCTTCTAGAAGCATCAAACTAGTTTCCATTGGGTCAAAGAGATATGGAGAGAGGGGAAAGCTTTGTCGCCGACCTTTCTTTTCTTTTCCATCGGGTAAAAGATCAGTCATTATTAAATAAAGTCGCAACACTTGATACCTATTGGATTTAAAAGAAAAATTACCAGAGGATGAGCAGCAAAAGTAAATACCAGAAATGAACCAGAAGAAGCCTTCTCAAAACACACACACACACACACACACAATATATGTGTGTGTATATATATTATATACACGTGAAGATCTATTCATCATCTCCTAAGTGAAATATATCTTATGAGAATGTTGTTAGGACAATTTGAGCTGAATGATCAATGATGGTGCAACATTAGCCATTTTCATACACTCTTAATTATCCAGAATGAGGCATGTCCCTCTAATCATACTGCTAATTTCCAATTGAAGCAAAAATATGATCATCATAAACAGGTGTCATAACAGGTATTTCTCCTTCATTCTGTCTTCAGTAGTAGATTACACATATGATCACTGCCTCTACTTGCAAACTAGACAAGAATATAAGCAGAGGATAAGAAACAAACCATCAGAGTTTCACCAATTACATATACTAGAGCGGAACTTTGACATACTACTACGACAACGTCAGAGCACAAATAGCTTCCCGATGTACAAACTAGATATTAAGATTGGCTATAGAACATCATGATTCCTTGCTTCTAGTACATTACACTTAAGTAGTGCCAAGTAGTGAGATTGAAACAATTCATGCAATCTTAGACACAAGCAAGGGTCTCAAAGTGTTGAAAGGCTTGACCCCATTTATACTTGTACTCTAAGGGATCCTGCTTGACAGAAGCAAAGTTTGAGACATTACATACCTCCTCAAATGTCTTGTCAACGATATCGTAGGATAAAATTCTGCCTTGAGCTGATACTATAAGCATAGTCTTCCCTTCTCCATTTGCCTCGACCAAACAAAGTACATCAACCTTAATACCATCAGCATTACCTCCAATTCCCATACCAAGATAATCAATATCAATGCGATACTTCAACGACCACTTGGAGTAATCTATCTGCAACTCCATTACATCCACCAGTGAAGCTGCTCCACTGTCACATTCCTGAATAACATGGAGGCGTCCACCCCAATCGCCAAAATAACAAATCTTTCTCCCATTTTCAGGAACACTAGTACTAGGCATTGTCCTAAACCTCTCATTCTCGACATCAAACGCTAGAAAAGGCTTGTTCTCGCCAACCCAATGAATACAACCTCGTGAAAACACGCCCCTTTTCAACAAGTAATCATATTTATCATTAAACCCCTTTCCTGTATCCTTCCATGTACCACTTTCTGAAGCATAAATCAAGATTTTATACACGTGATCCCCAAAAGGGTCATTGTCATTTTCCGAATTATAAGCATATATGCAAATAATTCTATAAAAATCGGATCTTGACGGATCAAATGCTAAATTTATAGCTTTAATAGTAGCGAGGCTAAATTTTTTAGGCAGTGAAAGAGAAGCATAAGAGCATGTACAAGGGTTATAAACATAAAGGTTACATTCACAAGGAGCCAACAAAAGCCCAAAACACAACAACCCATTACAAGAATGAAGGTGATGAAAACCTGAAAAGGCTAAAGGGTAATGAAACCTACGAATGGAAGAAGGGATGGTTCTAGAATAACAATTTTTGTCGTTGGAATTATTGGGGAAGTATACGAGGTGGTCCATGAGATGTTTGAAGGAGAATGTACGGAACAACAAGAGACCAGTGGCGGCGGAAGTGGAGGCGTGGCGGCGGCAGTGACGGCGGCGGAAATGAGGAGCAGAGATGAGAGAGTGCCAGTGTTTGGAGACGCAGCAACATTGGAGAAGATATTTTGTGGGTAATCGGAGGAGAATTTCACTTAGAACGTCTTCCTTGTCGGCGATCACTTCGCCGCCCGCAGAAGCGGTGAGATCGCCGGCAACCGGTGAAGCAGCCTCGAGTATTGTCATTCAAATTTGGGATGATCGCACAATTTTTGTGAAGGAAATGTGAAGAGTTTTTAGCTAAAATCTCTCTTACGTTTAAACTTTCCTAAACTTTGAGCAGTTTTAGTTCACCTAGCAGAAATCATTGCAGTCATATGACATGGATTTAACAAGAAACCACTGCTGGTAATATAGATATTAGTAACACTGGTACAAGTAATGCTAGCATTAGTTATGTTAGAGATTATTTTTTATTCACCATTAGGTGTATAAAATTGCATAATTTTAAAAAAATTAGGTGTTTATAAAAGTACCCTCCATAATTTTCAACTTTAGCTATAACAATTAACTACATAGACAACATAATAAGAAATTCTTTCAACATTGAGAGGTTAATGGATCAGTACAAAAATAATAATGAAAAAAAATAAAATAGTACTATCAAGGTATCAAGCTATAACAAGTTTAATTTGGCAGTATTCAACAGTGCTTAAGGGTGGGCATAATACCGACCCCATCGAAAAAATCGGACGAACCAAAAATTTTAGTTTATTCGGTTTCAGTTTTTCGGTTTATTCGATTAGTTTGCGGTTTATTGTTTTAAAAAGTTCGGTGTTCGATTCGGTGGTCGGTTTTAATGGTTCGGTTTTCGGTTAAACCGAAGAACCGAATTCTCATACTACAATTTCAAGTTCACACTCAACAATTGACCACGAAAATTTCAAATGATTAACGAGAATTCGGCGAGAAATTGATGAACTGCGAGAACTAATGCAAAAGAGGTTTAAGCTAAAATTGGTACCTTTTTATCTAGTGGAAAATCAATATTTGGAGTAGAAAATAGTCTTCTAGCAGTTTAGTCGACAAAGCATGGAATAAGTTAGAAACTCTCCTAAGCTAAAAAGTCTATAGCTTTTGCTTAAGGTTCAACAAACACGAGACGATTTTCGTTGAAGACAGTTGTTTCAACATGGGTTAGTTGCTTAAGGTTCAACATGAGTTAGTTGAAGACACTAGAAGCACTTGCAACAACTGCAAAAAGTAATCTATTTTCGTTGTTTCGTACTATTTTTTCATGGCTTGAAACCGAAAACCCAACCGATTAAACCAAACCGAACATGAAAAAACCGAACCGAACCGAAGTTACTATGGTTCGATTTTTGTTATTAAAATCACAAACCGAAAATCGAATTAACCGAACCAAAATTCTACAAAATCGAACCGAACCCACCGATGCCCATCCCTACTTGTGCTTTTCCATGCCCAAATCGTACAGAGGAAAGTTTGCTTGATAATAATAAGGGGAAAAGTATTTGAGATGGGTTTTTAGCGATTTGAGGGGGGCAATTAGGTCTTTAATCATGTTTATGCAAGTATTAAAAATACTTGCATTACTAATGTCATAGTTTTCTATGCATTGCTTAATACTTGCATTACTAATGTCATAGTTTTCTATGCATTGCTTGTATTAGTTATACACATATTGAAAAAATGTACCAAACAATGTATTAGTAATACACAGAGTTAATACTTATATTATTTTTTCTAATACCTCCTACCAAACAACCCATTAGTTTTTAGGTCTCATTTGGAGCTCCTGTCAAATAGACTAAAACCGCTCAAATTTAGTAAAGTTAAAGGATGTGAAAGGATCAAATGAGACCTACTCTTAAACATAAGGTACAATTTTAGGTAAAGGTCGAAATCTAAATATGAATTGCGCGCTAGACTATATAGTTGTGCTTTTATTGAAGAGGTTCAAGTCATATGCCCAACTAAGTGTCACGACCCAAACTCCTACCACATGGATTGTGATGGCATCTAGTCTCTAAGATTAGGTAAGCCTATTATATAATAATGCCAATCAAAATATAACAACATCAAATTAACAAAAACTGCAAAAATACGATAATACTGCCAAATGTGGATATGATGATCAACTTCCCAAAACCCGGTAGTACTAAGTCATAAGCTCTAAATGGAATACACATCAAGTTTCGAAGAACACAATATTGTTTGAAAAACATAAACAACAGAAATAAAGTGAAGAGTGTGACTGTGAGTCCTGTGAATGGAACAACAGGGATACCCTTGAAGTCTCCAATAACCACAAGCACGCCTCTCTATCGATCCGCCCGATCAGAAGTACCTGGATCTGCACAAAAATGTGCAGAAGCGTAGTATGAGTAAACCACAATTGGTATCCACTAAGTATCGAGACTAACCTCGGCGAACTAGTGATGAGGTTCAAGTCATGTGATACTCACTAGTCAAATAACATGTGGAATATATCAAAATAAAACTGACAACACAATATATAACAAAGACAATATCAACAACCTTTTCTGGAATGTGATAACTGTCACGCCTCCTTTTTCCGCCCCCGGAGGGGCGAAGGAGTTTTTTCCAATTAAAGGACAATCGAAACAGAATTTGTTTATTTATTTCAGAGTCGCCACTTGGGAGATTTAGGGTGTCCCAAGTCACCGATTTAATCCCGAATCGAGGAAAAGAATGACTCTGTATTATAGTCTGCGAACCAGAAATCCGGATAAGGAATTCTGTTAACCCGGGAGAAGGTGTTAGGCATTCCCGAGTTCCGTGGTTCTAGCACGGTCGCTCAACTGTCATATTCGGCTTATTTATCTGATTTTATACAAATATGAACTTATGTGCAGATATTAACTCTTTACCGCTTTTATTATATTTTTAAAGGAATGTGAACATCGTTTAAAATATGTCTTTGGATTGCGTCACATGAAATGCACCCGCAATCCGGAACATATTTATATCCAATGTTTTGGGATTTGGATTTGGGTCGCATGAAATGCACACCCGAGTTTAAGAAAATAAGATTAATTGAGACGCATCCTAAAGAACTAACGTGTTATTATTTGCGGGGAAAAATCGTGAAATTTGCTAAATGGCCCGTCCCAGGATTTAAATGTTTAATATATACATCTAACGAGGGCCCCACCATTTATGCATTTTATTTTGGCGAGGCTCATCTCCTTTTATTTAAAGGCAAACCTAAAAGCAAACTATGATTTCCTATCTTTGTTTATCTCTAACAAAATGGAAAGGTCCTACTGTATTTACATACTTATGAGTTATTATAGTTAAGCTTCAAACGTGATTTATTGAAAGAGGGACGTGATACGGGCAGCCCATTTGGCAGTTATGGGCCCATACCTAATGTGCGTGGAGCTAAATTTGGCCTGTGCCGCTCTTATTCTAATTGGGCCTATTCAACTCATTTGATAGGCGTTTAACATTTATAAACAA